CCCACACTCACACTCACACTCACACCCACACCCACACTCACACTCACACTCACACTCACACCCACACCCACACCCACACCCACACCCACACCCACACCCACACCCACACCCACACCCACACCCACACCCACACCCACACCCCACACCCTGAAGCCATGAAAAATAATAAGAAGGTTAAACAGAAGAACTTGTCTAAAAAACAAAAAAGACAAGCTAGAACAACAACAGAAGTTCCAATAATTAATGAACATGTTGTTAATAATAATACAAAGACGCGAGGAAACAACCAGCGTCAAATAAGTTTTTCTGATTTTGAAAAAGAAGAGGAAAATGATAATGAGAAATCACCTTCTTTAAATAAAGATAAACGAAAATGTAAAAGTTATTTACAAACTTTTAAAATTCTCGCTTATCTAAAAGATCGTGTAAATAAAGATAATAAAATAAAACTCGACTTTAAAGATGTTTTCAATGAAGTATGTGAATATGCAAAAAATACCATTGAAACATATGATAGTTGGGTATGTAATCATTATGAAGCCCAAGTCTGGCAACATATCTATGATTTAGGTAAAGAAAAAGATCATTGGGCTAAAGAAGTAGTAAATACAACATATACACGGGAGGCTAAGATAAATGTGTCAATGTGTGAGAAGAAATTAGCACAATTGACAACGACATGTTTCGATGCTGATAATATAATTACACGAAATATGCGAGAACTTTCATCTAAAACAGCCACTGTTGCTACACAACGAGTACATGATCTTATACTTGATTATGTTAAAGAGGCTACACAAGGCTTAGCTAAAATAAGCATTAATAGAATTCGTCGTGCTTCAATTGAAAAAGACGAAAGGGATGCTCTAAAAACATTTGAAAATGTTGCATCAGAACAACAAAAAATGTATGCTAAAACCTTTTGTAAACCGGCATTAATTAACTACCATAAGAAAAAGAAAAATTTTGAATTGGTAGCTGCACATATATCATATGATATAATACCGAAAATCTTACCGCAGTATGACTTTAATCTTCCTGTGGACGAAAATTCACTTACAAGTGAACAGACCCAGGAATACAGAAAAAGCATAAATAATTTATCAAAAGATTTTCGACTTAAAGCAACAGAACTCTATCTGAAAATTGTCAAAGAAGAATATGAATTTCAAAAAGAAAGATTACAAAAACTTATTGATGATTTTCCACAAGATAGATATGAAGTACCATCAACACAAATTGATACAAATATTGTTGTTGATGATGAGGATGATGATGAAGAACCTTTAGAGAATGGAGTTTTTACTCAAAAACCATTATCAAAACGACAAGAAACTATAAACAATCAAAAAGGTTCTGAATTATTTAAAAAATATATTGTAATTGCACATAAAAGAGCTCAATTAGAAATTGAAGAAGAAGTGCATTTTTTATCCGAACGAGGCGTCCAAGAGACGCCAATCGGAACCCAAGAGCCAAAAGATCTAAATCCAGTGATGCGAATAGATTTCTTGCTCCAAGCGTAATAAATCAATCTGATATAAATTTAAATAGGAGAGAAGAGGCCCTCCTTAAGTTAGGCCCTAAATATATTCCAAATAACTTTTATCTCGCTCATAAACGTATGGAAAATGAGATAGAAGTGGTTGTAAAGAAACTAAATAAAATATTCGTTGAACACGGATGGGTACTACCTAAAGAACGGTTACAGATCTTGATAGACTCGCTCGAAAAGATCTTGACTGATTGTCATGAAAGACACCCGCCATCTGTTCAATTAAAAGAAATCAATATTTTAAGTAATAAATTTGAAGCTACACAAACGGTCATAAGAAAAACTGATAAATCGAAAGTTTTCCATCTTGGTAAACTTGATGACTATAAAGTGAAAGCTCAAACATATATGATTAATACTAAAGCTTATCAAGATTTGGGTACAGTAAACCCACTTGAATCTTTAGTTGAACGTACAAATAATTTCCTTTATGGTTTATGGGTTAATAAACATATTACACAAAAACAATATGAAAACTTCAAAGTAGGAAAAGATGAGGCGGAATTAGCCCATCTTTATTTCTTACCTAAAGCACATAAACCAGGAACACCATTAAGACCTATAATGTCTGGTCTTAAGTCTCCAACTATAGAAATATCTAGATGGTTGGACAGTTTATTAAGACCATTGTTCGATCGTCTAACCATAAATACGACCGTTAAAAATGGCCTTCAACTAATACAACAAGTTGAAAGATGGTCGGCTACTTACCTTACACGAGCCACATCATTTGTAACAATGGATGTTACTGATTTATATACAATGATTCCGCAAGAAGGTGGAGTAACAGCCATAAAAAAACTAATGGAGGCATCTGGTTTAAAACAAATCGATGGTGTTAAAAAAGAGATTCAGGGGTGGCCCGACCGGGGGGGTGTCGGGGGTGGAACACCCCCCCAATCTTAGAAAAATTCTATTTTTTGCTCAGCAAAATCAAAAAATTTTCTTCCATTTGTCATGAAAAATAATGTTACACCCCCCCAAAATTAAAAA